TAAGGCCTGAAACAATAAGATTACTAGGACAAAACACAGGAGAAATGCTTTAGGACATTGGTCTGAGAAAAGATTTTATGAATAAGACCTCAGAAGCACAGGCAACAAAATCAAAAGTAGATAAATGAGATTATGTCAAACTAAAAAGTTTCTGCATAGCAAAGGAAAAAACAGAGTGAAAGGACCACCTACAGAATGGGGTAAAATATCTGCAGACTTCTCATCCAACAGGAGATAAATATCCAGAATATACAAGTAATTCAGCATCTTAATAGTGAAAAACCAATTCAATTCAAAAATTGGCATATGGTTCAAACAGATATTTCTCAAAAGAAGACATACAAATGGCCAAAAAAATATATGAAAAATGTTCAGCATTGCTAATTATCATGGAAATGCAGACACAATGAGTTATCATCTCACCCCAGTTAGGATGGCTATTATCAAAGAGACAAAAAATAACAAATGCTGGTGAGGATGCGGGGAAAAGGGAACTTGTGTACACTGGTGATGGGAATGTGAACTAGTGCAGCCAGTATGGAGAACAGTATGGAAGTTCTTCAAAAAACTACAAATAGAACTACCATATGATCCAGCAATCCCACTACTGGGAATGTATCCAAAGGAAAGGAAATCAGTATATCAAAGATACATCAGGACCCTCCTGTTTATTGCAGCACCATTCAAAATAGTCAGGATAGGGAATCAACCTAAATGGATAGAGAAAATGTGGCATATATACACTATGTAATACTATTCAGCCATAAAACAAATGAAATCCTGTCATTCACAGACAGCAACATATATGCAACTAGAGGACATTATGTTAAGTGAAGTAAGTAAGGAACAGAAGGTAAAACACTACATGTTCTCACTTGTATGTAAAAGCTAAAAAAAAGTTTATCTCAAAGTAGAACAGAGGCTGGGTTGGGGAGGCAGAAGGAGAGGATGGGGGAGATTGGTTAAAGGATGCAGGATTACAGCTAGATAGGAGAAGGAAGTTGTAGTGTTCTACACCACAGTAGGATAACTATAGTTAATACATAGTTTCAAGTAGCTAGGAGGAGAATATTGAACACAAATAATAAATACTTGAGATGCTGGATATGCTTATCACCCTGATCTGATCACTATACATGATATGTATCTGAATGTCACACGCACTCTGTGAATATGTACAATTATTATTTGTCAAGTAAAAAAAAAAGAATTGGTGAACTTGAAGACAGATCTGGAACTGCCACCTAGAAGGAGCAGAATAAAGTGTGGAGATAAGGACATGGCCATCACTAAGTTGGAAGGCATGGTGTTAGAATGCAGAGGGACAGCATTCTGTCTAGTAGGACTTCCTGAAGAAGAAAATAGGAAGAAGGGGAAGTTTGTGGTTGAGTTTTTCTTTTCCAAATTTGAAGTGAAACAGAAGACTTTAGATGTAAGGAGCACAAAACGTTTTGACTGAGATCAACAATAAGATATCCATTCCTAGACACATTATAGTAAAACCACCGCTTATTAACAAAAAAGAGAGAAATTAAAATCTCCCAGAAGAAAAATGATAATTACCTATTAAAAGGGCAATTAAACTGATAACAAAGTATTCATCAGCCACAGTAAATGCCAGTAGATAACAGTGGAATATCTTCAAGTATTGATGGAAAATACAACAAACCTAGATCTATGATCAACATTATTCAAGAATATGGGAGAATAAAGATATTTTTAGGCAAAAATTTAGAGAAGTTACTACTCGCATATTCTCACTGAAAGAACTAGTTAAGGCTAGTGTGAGATAGATTATGTCCAGAAGAAAGGTAGGAAGTGCAAGTAGCAAGGTAGAATAAAAAGTAAATGTATGGTAGAGGAGGGAAAAAAAAAATACCTTTTCTCTCTAACCATTGGCTGGGGGCTTGCAAATTAGATTGACAAGAGGAAGATTAATGAGAAATGCATACAAATTTTATTACTATGTGTACACATACACATGGACATGAGATGAGCAGCTGTAAGGGCAGTTAGAATGTGGACTTACATGGCATCTTAACAAAGAACAATAATTTTTAGAGAAGGGACAAGACAAAGGAGAAGGACTTTGAGTTTCTTGGGTGGCAGATTGTGGGAAGGTAGATATTTGGGGAACTAATGGAAGATGTGGACTACTTAGTGAAGTTTGTTGTGAGGATTCTTCTGGTGCCAGCTGACTGGGGTCTAGACTTGTCTCTGGTGATTGGTCTCTGCCCTTCCTTGTAGAGAGGGGAGTGAAGAGACACCTTTACAAATGCGTGTCCTACTTTTATGCATATAAAGAGGGAGAGCAGAGGGCTTTTTTGGTATCTCCTTCTTTTCATTTGTTTTCAGCTCAAAATAGTCCTTATGCCAAAGTGGCATATTTTAGGATGGCAGAGTCTGCTACCCTTCCGTGGAAAGAAATTTAAATAAGCATTGCATTAAAAAGTAGAAATATAATAATGGATTTTGGAGGGTTACAAGCGAAGTAAAACTAAAATACTGGACTGTAATACATGTAACATTGGAGGGGGAGTCAGGGTTTCAGGCTCTTGTATTGTTTGAAAGGAGGATAAAGGTATTACATTTAAATTTGATGTCAAGTATGCATGTTAGAAAAGTAAGAGTAACCACAAGAAGAATAGAAATGGAATGTGTAACTTCCAAACTAGTAGAAGGATGAAAAGGAAAATAAACAGGAAAAAAACCACAGAAGGGACTAAAAGAGAGTCAAGCAAAGGAAAGACATAATAGATAGAAAACAGAAAATGAAGGTCAGAGCAATTGTTGCATATATATCTGCAGTCATAAGAGATGTAAATGGAATAAACTCAACTGCTAAAATATAGAGAATCTCAGGTGACTAAACATGGAATCCTGTTGTAATGGCATTTCTAAGAGTCATGCCTAAAATATAATGACCAGCAAGTTCGGAAGCAAAGATGACAGATTGAACACGCGTCTGATTTTATCTCTTTCCAAAATCCACTTAAACTACAAAAAATGGACTTTTCTTCTTAAAAGACATCAATCCACAATGGCAGGAAAAACAGGAAAAAAGACAAGAGCAGCACAATTTTGTGAGCTGTAAAGCGCGTGAATGACTGGGAACTGACTCGGCGAGTCTCCGAGAGCTGACTCCCAAGCCAGAGGTAGGATGTGCTGAGATCCAACATAACTTACATGGTGAGAAGCTCACGGTGCTCAGGAATCGGTGGCACCAGGGGTGTCTAGAACAGTGGGTCTTTGGGGGTAGAATGGGTGATTAGAATAATGAGTGTGGGTTGAAGGCTTTTCAAGTACCACTTGGATCTCTAAAACCCAGCTCCTATGTGTATGTCTGGGACACTGTCCTGCTCCCCACCCCCACCACAGCAGAAGCCCGGAGCTTTGTTCTCTGGAGGGGATAAAACAGCATCTCTAGCACGGGGACTTGGGCAAGGTGGAGTGTGAGGCTGCCGCTCAGTAGGGAGGAGGATCCAGTGGTCTGGTGCACACGGGATGCCAGTGCTGAGACTCCTCAGCCCCTCCCCCGACTCACACGGGCCCAGGCCTTTACCTTCTGGCTAGGGAATTAGGAGACTCTTCCCTGGGGAATCTGCTCAGTGCAAAAAAAGCACGTAAAGATGCGAGGACATCTGAGGGGGACAGTGGCCAGGGACTGGCCCAGCTAGATCTTCCTACAGACAAGCTCACAGCCGACGAGTTTCACTCACATCTTCTGAGCTTTTTAGTCTTCACTTTTAAATATACACAGGCACGGAGATCACCAGACATCTGAGGAAAGTCTCTAACCTGAAACCTAGAGACCAGAACCACTGGGGAGAGACGTCCAACTTGGAAGAAATAGAGATTGTGTTGGGAGGGGAAGATTTCAGGAAAACTATCACTTATGTTTTCAAGTGGTAGGGGAAAATAAAACACTCATGAAGTGAAAAGCAGGATGTTAATACAAAGTATTTATGGGAAAGAAACATCCAGAGATCAAACGCAAACTTGCAGGAATGAAAACTGATGACAGCAGATATGAAATTCTCAGTAGAAGGTTTGGAAGATAAATTTGAGGAAGTCATCCAGGCTGGGCATGGTGGCTCACACCTGTAATCTTAGCACTCTGGGAGGCTGAGGCAGGAGGACCTCTTGAGGTCAGGAATTTGAGACCAGCTTGGGCAACATAGTGAGACTTTGTCTCTACAGGAAATTAGCTGGGCATTGTGGTTTGCACCTATAGTCCTAGTTACTCCAGAGGCTGAAGCAGGAGGATCACTTGAGCCTAGGAGCTTGAGGTTATAGTAAGCTAAGACGATGCCACTGCACTCTAGCCTGGGCAACAGAGCAAGACCCTGTCTCAAACAACAACAAAAAAAAGCCAGGAAATCAAGCAAGGAGACAAATCATAGAAAATAGAAACAGAATATTAGAGGACCCATCCAGAAGTCTTATGTCTGAATAACAGAAGTTTTTAGAAAAGGAGAAGAAGAAATAATAATAATAATAATAAATAATCCAACAGCATTTTCCAAACCCAAAGGACATGAGTTTCTACACAAAAGTGGCCCATTGAGCTCCCAATACAATGGGAGGACTTAAACCTGTGCTACAGGGCTCACCATCATGAATACTGGTGAGAAAAGATTCTACAACCTTCTAGAGAAAAAAATTATCACATACAAAGGATTAGAAACACGAATGCTTTCAGACCAAAAGCAACAATGGAAGCTAGAAGATTATTAAGCAATGTATTCAAAATTCTGTAGGAAACTATGCTCAACGTAGAATTCAATATCCTGCCCAAGTTTCAATCAATGTGAGGGTAGAGGAGAATGTTGTGGTCTCAAAAATTGACTTCCTACACACTCTTTCTCAGGAAGCTAATGCAAGATGTGCTCCATAATGAGGGAGTGACTAAGAAAGAGGCAGACATAGGGTGGGCCATGTCCAACACAGGACAGAGGGAGGAAAATCCTTGGGAATGGTGAAAGAAGAGTCCAGAAAGGCAGCTATGACCTAATGATAGAGGAAAACTCAATCTGGATTGAGGCAGGTCCAGGAGAAATTAATTCAAGAAGATGAAGTTCATTCACATCATGTATAGTTCAGTATCTTTTCCTTTGGTAATATTTGTATTTTAAGGCATATCAGAAAAAATAAAATTAGCACATAAAGTTCACAACTTGATGTTGATCATTGCTTAGGATGAGGTTTGATTTTTTTTTTTAGTTAGGCAAATTTTGGTTCAATATCTTAGGAGACAAATTAGAAAAGTGGCAGAGTATTTGGGGTTTAATCAGGTACCTAGACAACTAAACAAGCAAACCGAAACGAGGCAATTATTAACTCTAGGGAGAAAAAACAAATTTGCAAGAAAGATAAGTAATCATAGTATACTAGCCCCGCTCAACTCCAGATAATATGGAGTCAAGATATAAATTCTAAGCATCTACCAATATAAATAAATAGAGAGAGGGGAAATGTAAACATAGCTTAATTCTCATTTTCTGTAGTTGGGAGTTAATAACTAATGTTCAACTTTTTTTAAAATTAAGAAATAGCATTAGAAATATGTAGGTAAGTACCAGAAAATCAGATCAAAGACACCATTAAAAAGGTACAAGGGGCCGGGCGCTGTGGCTCACACCTGTAATCCTAGCTCTTGGGAGGCCGAGGCGGGCGGATTGCTCGAGGTCAGGAGTTCAAAACCAGCCTGAGCAAGAGCGAGACCCCGTCTCTACTATAAATAGAAAGAAATTAATTGGCCAACTGATATATATATATAAAAAATTAGCCGGGCATGGTGGTGCATGCCTGTAGGCCCAGCTACTCGGGGGGCTGAGGCAGGAGGATCGCTCGAGCCCAGGAGTTTGAGGTTGCTGTGAGCTAGGCTGACGCCACGGCACTCACTCTAGCCTGGGCAACAAAGCGAGACTCTGTCTCAAAAAAAAAAAGGTACAAGGACAAAACCACAACCTGGGAGTTGTCATTGGCAGCAGGTATGAAAAGGAATTAGAACCTACATTTACACACCTGTGTATAAGTAAATGAAGAGTTCCTACGAATATCACTCCTCGGCCTTTTGGCTGAGATCAAGTGAAGTTTTCCTACAAATAAATTTGAATAAACTGATCCCAGTACAAAAATAACCAAGGAATATGAATAGACACTTCATGGGAATCAGATCCTGGGTGGCCCAGAGTGTTTGAAGAGACACTCACTCTTGCTGCTAGTCAAGGAATGCAAATTAAAACTAGAATGTGATAATATTTTGTATCTACCATTTTGGCAGAAGTTAAGACACCTACCAGTACCAAGGGTCGGCGAGCGCATAGAGCAATGGGAACTCTCATTTGCTCTGGTGAGATTCTTACACACGCAGAAAAAGAGAGTGGACATGCATATTTACTACAGCACCACATGTAACAGCCAAATACTCATGTGTGTGGGAAAGCTTACTGTGACGATGGTATTCATAGAATGGAATTCTATGTAGCAGAATGATCTAATTCTGCATGTATCAATATGGATAAGCCCCAAACATAATCACAAATTTAAAATGCACGCAGTTTAAGGATATGTTCAGTGTCAAATCATGGACGTGAACTATTTTAACTGAGCAGATCAGCAGTATTATGTACTGTATGTGAACACGTACGGACAAAGTACAAGTGTAAAAATATGGACAGTGGAGGAATATACTCATTTAAGAATAATAGATACCTCTGTTCATACTTTTGTTGAGTTGTAAAAACTTTTTACTTGGATTTCAGTTAACATGGCACCATGCAAGGGGAAGAGGGCCTGTGTGCAATTTGGGGAAAAACAAAACATCTGTGCAATAGTGTGTTCTGTCATCTAAGAGCATCGCACAACTTTCTACTCATTCAGATCGTCTCTTGCTCATTATTAATCAACACTTTGGAATGGTTTTTCCATGGGACGACATTGATATGTCCTGCACTAATTACATTTTCATGACTTAGGGGTAGGGTTTTCTTTCTGTTAGCACCTACTGAAATTGAATTTTGGCTGTGTTTGGAGACATTCATTTGTTAGTGGATCAATTTCACCTGGTTTTTCCAGTGCTCCCAGGGACCACAGAAGCACGTGGCTTTCTGAATTTGGCGTGTGTGAGTCTGTTTTCTCCACGTCTCTCTCACGTGTCCCCTCTTGCCCCAGGCACACAGCGTGTACTCAGCACCGTTTGGGAGAATGCGCCATTTCAGAAGTGAAAACAGCTGAGACGGGCTGGCCCATGGGACGCCATGGAGATCAACCCGCTTATAAATATTGACTCGTGAAAGTTCACCCAGCGTGCGGGAATGACGCTGTCTTCGAGGGTATTCAGTGTGGCTTTTTCCCCCTGTGATTGCAGGAAGATGCTGAAACTCTGCGGAGAGACAGAGGACAAGCTGGCCCAGGAGCTGATACACTTTGAACTGCAAGTAGAGAGAGATGTGATTGAGCCCCTGTTTCTGCTGGCCGAGGTGAGCAGCAGGGGCGGGCCAGGCCTGCCTGAGCAGGGGAGGGCAGGGCAGGGCAGGGCAGGAGCCCCCGTAGTCAGGCTACTTGCAGCCTTGTTATTGTTTCTGCTCCTCACCCTGCTCCCTGACATTGAGTTCACCCAACCACATGGTCAGGATTCCTGACTGTGGCAGCCCTTTCAACTGTTAGCTACTGCTCCTGCCCACCTCCCCACTGGCACCCCGTGGGTAGAGGTGACAGCTGGTAGGTTACCTCCCTCCCCACCCAGAGTCCCGACTGCTGGCGCCCTACCCTCCCCCATCTCAAGTCTAAAGGGAAGTGCACAGCAGGGGTCTGGGGACCCAGGTCCAAGAGACTCTGTGTAAGGCCCCCTGTAACTTATGTCTATGTTAGGTCCCTTCTCTTTGGACTTTCAAGGTCACTAAATTAAAAGACCTTATTAAAAAGCAACCTTAATGTCTATGTGACAGTTTTGCGAGCTTCAACCAAGTGACGTTGTATCCAGGGAGACAGGAGATGGTTGGGGAGCTTTTTCTGTCTTGAACCCTGGGCCCCTCCTAGTCGCCTTTAATTGCTCATACAGATTGAGCACCTGAAACCTGAAAATTCCGAATCCGAAATGCTCTTAAACTGGAAATGTTTCGAGCACTGAAATGACACCCAAAGGAAATACTCATTGGGACATTTCAGATTTTGGATTTGGGATGCTCACCTGTTAAATATAAAGTAGAAAAAAAAAAAAAAAAACCTAGGGCCCCAAGCATATCGATAAGGGATACTCAATCAGTATACAACCTAACCAGCGCTATCCCCTAGAAGTCTGTATTAGTGCGGGCTCTCCAGAGAGACAGAAGCAATAGGCTACATGAGAGAGGAGTTATCAGGGGAGTTCGCTCACATGGTCCCAGAGGTGGAAGGTCCTGCAATAGGCCATCTGCAGGCTAGAGGGCCAGAGAAGTAGTTCATGCCTCAGTCTGGAAGCCTAGAACCACAGCAGCTCCCCGTCCCAGGCTGAAGGCCAGAAGGCCCCCGGGAGACCACTGGTGCAGGGCTCAGAGTCCACGAGCCGAAGAACCTGGAGTCTGATGTCCACGGGCAGGAAGAGAAAAGGCTTCCCACTGCAGAAGGGAGAGGGCACAGAGAGCATCGCCCTTCTTCCGCCCGTTGTCCCAGCCGGGACCCCAGTGGACTGGATGGTGCTCGCCCCACTGAGGGCAAGTCCCCTCCCTGTGAGCGCTGACTCGCACATCCGCCTTCTCTGCAGACACTCTCACAGACGTGGCAGAAGTGACTCGTCCCCAGCTGTCCGGGCATCCCTCGGTCCAGTCAAGTCCACACCTAAAATTAACCATCACAGACTCCCTGCACTGACGCAGATGCTCTGTGTCCACATGGTGTGCCAGCCTCTGTTCCTACCTGCCTGTGGGACACTTGAAATGTGGTTAGGGCAACTCAGGAACTCAAGTTTTTATTTAATTTAATTTTTGTTCATTTAAATTTAGAATCCCAGAGCTGCATGTGGCCAGAGGCTGCCACAGTGTTAAACAGGGTTGCCCCAGACCCCGCCTGGCTTCCTTTCTGGGCCACCTCTGGCATGTCTTCGTCACCTGCGCTCTCTGGGACAGATGTATGTGGGTAGATAATTATGTACCAGCCCAAAAGTATTCAAGGGGATAATGTAAGATGAGGGGCTTTGGCGTAAACCAGCTCCAGAAATCTCAAATCCCGTCTTGTGACGGGTCATCCTGTAGCCCAGAGCGTTCTTGAGAGGCCCTCTGCTCCTCACTGGGGTGGCCAGGGCTCCGGCCAAAGCCCGAAGCAAGCCAGGGAGCGGGTCCCAGGTGGGTGCCGGCACTCGCTGGCCGCGGCTCCTTCGAGGTGACCATGTGGCTCTCAGCTTTGCTTTGGGTCCCGGTGGTGACTCGGGTTGTCCAGGGACAGCTACACTTCTCCTTCCTATTCCAACTTGCCACACTCGGCCGTGACTCATCCCTGCCTAGGAGTGGGGATGGAAAGCGCCTCCCAGAACACCGGATTCTCCTCGTGTCTTCTCCTTGCATAAAAACCGCAGCCCGAGATGATTTTTAGTTCAATTTTCGGCCAATTTTCGTTTTTCATTCTCACATCCTGCCCTACTTTTGCTGGGCCCGGAACCAAAATCTTGCATTGGAATGTTCAGCGAAGTCATTTTTAGAATGAAAAGTATAAAAAGAGCATCCACATACGACCAAAATGGAAGGACGTGCAGCCGGGAAAAGCCAGGATGGCAATGTTTATTCATTATTGACTTTGGAAAAATCTTACTTTATTTTTATAAATATAAACATTGGCTTCCTTTGTTTTCATAAATATAAAAATCTGTGTCCTAGTCACAGTCATTGTAGCATCTCAGTGCTCTTCATCCTTCAGCCGTCCGTTCTGAGTTAGGTCTGTGTGTCAGCCCTGAGTGGCTCCCTTTGCTTCTCCCCACTTTTGGCCCTCTTGGGAGTAGAGATGTGATTGAGCCCCCACTTTTGCTAAGGTAAGGGCAGGCAAGTGGCCAGGACACGTGAGCAGGGAAGCATAGGACCTCGGAAATGCTCTGGGGTGACGGAGGCCTGGCCTGTGTCCATCAAAGAGAGAACAGAGTTTAGCTCAGGAAAAGGCATCAAGAATTTCATCTGATGTCGGTCAAAGGGTGCAGGGTCTCATTTATGCAAGATGAGTAAATTCTGGAGATCCAAGTTACAGTATGGTATGTGATTTACGTATCTGGTATCTGATATACAGTATGGCAATAGTTAATAATGCTGTCTTGTATACTTGAAATTTGCTAAAAAGATAGACTTTAAGTGCTCTCACTATCAAAAAAAAAAAAACACGAAAATAGAAACTGGGATGTGAGGGATGTGTTAATGAGCTTGATTGTAGTAATCATTTCACAATGCATACATATCAAAACACCAAGCTGTATACCTACAATAATATGCGATTCCTCTTTGTCTGTTATATGTCCGTGAAGCATAGGAGAAAGAAAGTATTTCTTCTGAAAATAAGGGTTGGGAGACCTCTAGTGAATCTGCCCCATGCCGGCCAGTGGTTCTTAAAGGACTGTTCTGAAGAATCGTTCTGAAAGAATTTATCAGTTTGTGTCTCTCATCTCCTGTAACCACAGGTGGAAATCCCAAACATTCAAAAGCAGAGGAAACACTTAGCCAAGTTGGTGCTGGACATGGATTCTTCACGAACCAGGTAGAGTTCCTTTGCTTTCCTTTTTGCCTCTTTGAAGGAACAGTGGTCATATCTGGGGGGAGAGAGTTTATGTGTGGGTGAGTGTGTTTTCATCCTCCAAGTTTTTGTTAACACCTGCTGCGTGCCCGGCACTGGCAGTAATAGTAGCAACCTTGAGAGACCGGGCCCCTGCTCTTATCTAGGCTGCAGTGGAATTTTGGAGACACTAGGCACATGAAGAAATGAGATAATTTCAGGCAGCCATACCTCATATAAAGAAAACAACACAGGGTAATTTGGGAAGGGGATGATGGAGAAAGGGAGGAACGACATTAGTACGGTAAAGCAGAGAAGGCTTTTTTGAGGTGATCACTTGGTCTGAAACTTAGATGATAAGAAGGAGGCAGCCCTGCAAAGAGCTGGTGCGAAGTGTCTACAGCAGCGGGAACAGCACGTGCAAAGGCCCTGAGGGGGGAATAAGTTTGGAACAATCAAAGTTCAGAAAGAAGGCCAGCATGGCAGGGCTGGAAGGAGCAAAAGGGAGAGAGGAAGGCTGATATCTCCTGTCCATGAGAAGGGAGAATTTCCAATGCCGGGGATGTGCTCACCTTTTCCTAAAGCTGGTGCTGTAGATGCCTCTTTCTGTAGCCTTTTCTCTTCACTTGAGTCTCTTCAGAGAAAAGTCCCTGCGGTGCTGGTCTGCACCTGTCTCCTGCAGCCCACCAGAACATTCCTGTCGTAGCAGGAGATGCCAGAGACCCCGAGATGGCATCAACCGTGGATGCCACAAGTGGGGACTGTGCGTACATGCCTGTTTTTTTTACAACGAGGGTGTATGAGTTGACAGAAAGCAGGCACATGAGTATTAAGATGGAAGAACCTATTTGGTGCTACTATAGGGTTTTTTGTAGGTCACTTTTAATCATCTCCACAGCTTGTTTTTATTTTCTCAAAGAAGAAACAGAACCAGGATAAGCTTGGGCAGAGAGATGTGGGATGGAGAATCCCGCCACAGGAGTCAGAAGATCAGACATGTCTCCCAGAGTGTCAGCTTCCTCACCTGCACAGGGGCGGCTACAACACTGTGGGTTAACTTGCGGAAGTTGTCCCGAACATTGAATTGATAATGTGTGTCACATGACTTCCCAAGTGCTTTAACTAAAGGAAGCTGACACTGTAACTAGTCGCACTGGAATTCTGTGTCCGGAAGAATAAAAGATACAGGGCAGTCCCCCCAAGAACAGAAACAAAACAGGTTAAATCAGCAAAGAAACCATCATTTCCTTGGTCGACTAACTCTCTCTCTCAACCTTCAATCTACCTGAATGATTTTTGCCATCTGTGTCTACACATCTTTTTAAACAGAGTTGATTACTTTTTCAAAATAAATCTGTTTTAAAAAGAAATCTTATAGCACTACCATACGTTGGGAAGCAGTGCCCTTTGCTACAAATATCAGGTAAGCATCAAAGTAAACAGATGAAAGCGAAGCCAGCGTTATTAAATTTTTAGATCCTGTTTACCATGGATGGCTGTCATCCTGAAGCTTATTTCCTTTTGTTAAAAAGGGAAAAGAGGAGGCATTCAGAGAGGTGTTCAGATTATTCTGATGCAAATCCAAGGCTATCTCCTTAGTGTACTTGGAGGAATAAAGAGCAGAATGGATGGGAGTATTGATTTGCTGTTATTTCTGTGACCTTGGACCACATAAAATAGTGTCCTGTAACATGAATGTTCAAGTCCCATGTTTTGGTTATTGAAGAAGCGCTGACTGTCCCATTGTCAGGGTCAGGTGGGCACCATGCTCCTGAGTTTGTGGAGTGACTTCCTTCTGTCACTAAACCTTGGTCTTAGCTTGGAGGTCTTGTCTTTGCTCCTCTAAGGAAAGCCACCAGAAGAAGGCAACGTCTACCCCAACTTCCTCCCATTTCCTCTAACTCCTCACCCTTATCAACATGAAGACTGTATCCCAGGATACACCAGTGAGAGTACGACCAAACACTGTGCCAGGTAGAGAGGATCGCTAGCTGCTTTCCTGGGGGCAGTTGGTTTCTCGGTGAAGCCAGAGAAACTATTTCTAGTTCGCCCCGTACTATTTCTCCATGAAGCCAGTTGCACATGTTAGGTTCTCCTCCTTGCTGCACCCCACATCTGACTACCAAAGCTTTCTTTAGTCTGTCCTTCAGGAAGTACACTCTGCAGAACTAAAACCGTGTGTTCCACAGAGACGCTGTGCCTCGTAAGACAGGCAGGATGTTTTCATATAATATCAGCACATCTTGAACAATAGTTCCACAACTGGATCTTTGAATTCTACTCCAGCTCCAGTGGGTACCGTCAGATCCAACTGATTTATCCAGTGTTTAATTAGGTCCCAATCAAATGTGTATGTTTGTCACTATTCAAGTGAATCTGACTTGTCTCTTTCCAAAACCAATGAGATAGACTTTAATATCCTAAGGGAAAACTGATGCTTAGAAGATGAATAAAGAAGGAAGCTTTGGCCAGTTATGGTAGCTCACACCTGTAATCCTAGCACTTTGGGAGCCCGAGGTAGGAGGAGTTTGAGACCAGCCTGAGCAAGAGCGAGACCCCATCTCTACAAAAAATTTAAAAATTAGCTGGGCATGGTGGTGTGCGCCTATAGTCCCAGCTTTTTGGAAGGCTGAGGCAGGAGGATCACTTGAGCTCGGGAGTTTAAGGTTGCTGTGCGCTATAATGACACCATTGCCCAGGTGACAGAGTGAGACCCTGCCCCCCCCCCAGTAAAAAAAGAAAAAAAAAGGAAGCTTTGTGCTGAATTAAAGAATGTAAATTGAATAGAATTGAATGTGAATGACACAAACATCTTTTCTGTGCTAGGCTTGGTTTTGCAGTGATTAAAGAAGAGGCCCCATCCTTCCCAAAGTCAGCCTCACCTTTTTCTGAACATATATCTCAAAGTGAACCCTTCTGAGTCCAGAACGCATTCCATTTCTGCTGAACAGCTGCCTCTGGGTCCCGTGGATTGAATTGTGCTGCCCCCCCCCATTCATATGTTGAAGCCCTAACCCTCAACGTGACTCTTTCTAAAGAAAGGGTCTTTAGGAGGTCATTCTGATTAAATGAGGTCTTAGGAGTGGGCACCTATTTCACTAGGATTGGTGACCTTATAGGAAAAGAGAGTGATCTCTCTCTCTCTCTGAACACCCTCAGACAAAGCTGTGTAAGGACACAGATGGTAACCGTCCTCAAGGCAGGAAAAGGATCGCACCAGAACAGAGGCCTGCTGGAGCTTTGATCTTGGACATGCAGCCTCCAGAGCTGCCAGGAGATAACCTTGTGTCCTTTGAGCCACCCAGTCTGTGGTGCTCTGTTATGGCAGCCCAAGCAGACCAATGCACCTGCCTTCTTTGGAAGCGAGTGAGCTAGTGTGAGACAGCAGAGTTCTGGGAAGGAACCCGGGCAGCTCGAGGAGTTAGGGAGTGGATAGCTAGAGGTGGAGCTCTGCAGCGCAGCACTGTTGAGAACCTGTGGGGCTGGCAGCAGGGTCTCCACGGCCATCAGGGGTCTTTCCTCATCTCTCACCTGCTTCTCCACGCATGCAGGTGTCTTTCACCTACACTCGTTTTCTTCCTGGTCACTGATGTCCCTGGGGCACAGGTCTCCCCGCTGTGATCTCTCTTCCTTTTGCTCCAATCTGGGGAAGATTCTGCATTGGGGGGAGGGGGGCTCCATTTGTCTGCCTTTTGCTCCTGTGCCCCCTTCCGTGACCCGTTGGTTGGCCAAGGTGATGAAGCACAGGCATGGGTGTGGCTTGCATCAGGGGTCCTCTCCTGGGCCACTCATGGCCAGGGTCATGCCAGAGCTGCCAGCTCCCTTAGGACCACACATCGGTACAGGAGTGAGTGCAGGAACTCAGAAAGTAAAGGGTATTAATGACAGAGGAAAGGAGAAGATGGGACAGGTGAAACAGGAAATATCCCATGGAAGAAATGTCCCTGTTGGCTTCCCAAAATTCTTCTTCTAGACTTCCTGTTGTCCTCAACTGACCTTCATTTGCCTTCTTTACCCACTTCCTGTACCTGAAATTCCAAACCCTGTTCCTCACGTTTCCCTCTCACCTAGCCTTCGTTAAAGCTCGGGTCCTGTCTTCATCTCCCCCAGGTCAGGTGGTCACAGCCTTTCCCCAGACAATGAGGGTGGCACATGTGCTACTTCAGTGGGAAGAAATTATCTTTCTGCTCTTCAGTTTGCAAAGCTCACATTCTTCTTGGGCAATGCTGGTTCCCTGTTTCTTCTCTGACAAAACAGTCCAGCTCTTGAGTTTATTTGTACAACAGATGTCTGAGAAGACTGCTGTACCTTGCAAGTCATGCTTCATGACACTTTTCCCAACAGGTTACATACCTGTACAAAATATTCTAAGTTTCCTTTGATATTTGGTTGAGTTCAACAAAGGGAATGTTTTGGCCGGGCACAGTGGCTCAAACCTGTAATCCTAGCACTTTGGGAGGTGAGAGGATTGCTTGAGCCCAGGAGTTCAAGACCAGCCTAAGCAAAAGCCAGACCCCATCTCTACAAAAAATAGAAAAATTAGCTGGGTGTGGTGACACGCACTTATAGTCCCAACTACTCGGGAGGCTGAGGCAAGAAGATTACTTGAGCCCAGGAGTTTGAGGTTGCAGTGAGCCAGGCTGACATCACGGCACTCTAGCCTTGGGGACAGAGTGAGACCATGTCTCAAAAAAAGAGAGTATTTTTGGGCATCTTAACCCTGTTTTGTAATTTCAGAATAGATTGTTTATATTAAATATATTGCAAATGAAATTTCCTATATAGAGAGGAAAAGCATATGTTTTTAAAGTACCAGGATATTGACTAAGAGATAAGACTTGGAAAAATAGAGAGGAAAATAGAGAAGAAAAGAAGGAAAGAATGTGGGGAAATGTCCTAAGTTTAATGTGCATATATTAAGTATAATTCTTTTTTTAAAAAATCTAATCCTGATTTATAAAACCATAAAAATCTGCTTAGTGTTTATAGTCACTTTATATATACATATATTTTTAACACTTACATATTAAGTTGTTTTTTCTTTGGTAGCATGAGTCAGATCATGGTTATAACTTTATTTCATAATCTAATATAGAGGTATATGTATTGTCTGAGATATAAATTACAGCCATAGCATCTCATATTTAATATGCCAGAAAACCCCACAATACTTTAATACTTTATTTGAAATTATTAAACTGGGGACTTATTAATCAAATATATCATTTGTATAAGGCAAACCTTTATCAGAAAGAATTACCCAGGAATTCTCACTAATCCTTATCTGTCAATTTATTTCAACTTAGATTTTAAAACATCTTTCAGTAGAATATTTCCTTTCTCCCACCCAAGTACTAACCAGGCCCGACCCTGCTTAGCTTCCGCGATCAGATGAGATTGGGCACGTTCAGGGTGGTATGGCGGTAGACAGAATATTTCTTTTCTAATATGCCCTGAATTCTTCTCTTGGAATCAGGAATCTTTCCTACGGCATGTGTTTCATCTCTGGAGCTTCAAGCCAGCTTGGTGTCCCAAAACATTTTTTAAGTAATTTTCCTGTGGTTGCATTCTTTAAATAACAGAGCATCCTTAATTTTCCTACTTTTTGCAAATAGCAAAGAGACCTTTAGTTTCCCTTTCTTGTATTACAGAGTTTTACAGTCTTCTGTTTTTCCTGAAGATAACAAAAGAGAAAAGAAAAATAGAGAAAATCCCTAACAATCATATTTCTTGCTCTAAGGATGAGGGTGACGTTCCACGTTCTGCCTCTCCTTTGAAGGCTGATGATCTGAGAGCCAGACAGAGCCCCAGAGCTGTCTTGTTTGGTCTGCATACTGCTGGCCTGAATGGTGTTTAAAAGAAATGAAATCAGAATCTGTTGCCACATTGCATCAGGAGAGTTCCCATGAAAATTTCCAGCATCTCTTGTCAGTTGAAATGTCTGGCAACCCAGGGTCCACCCCCCTGCCTACCCTGGCCCCCTGGGTCTGAGCTCCGGAGCCCCTCCACCCCCACCTTCCCCTCCCTCCTGACTCCCCAAGACCGAAGCCAGACTGGGCTGCTCTTTGCCGTCCTGAGTATGCTGTTGTTTTTCTTAGAGCCAAGAAACAGTTTTATATCTCATGCCTCTGTTATAGGTAGGAAATAAAGGATGGGGTGGACTAGCTTTTAAGACAATAGCTCATCTGACTTGTGTTTCTTACTCGCTGGCTCCTATCACCTGCTCAATGGAAGAGGAACCCGCTGCCAAGCCCCAATTCAGCTACTCCTGTCTAATGTGATTGGATCCTTCTTTCAGGGCCTGTTTTTGGTAATTCCCTAATGAGGACATAGCAACCAGAAATATTTGTACTTCCCGCTAAAGAGTTTTTATGAGCAGCTTCCTCAGAAGGCCAGCACTCTCCCCGCAAAGACAGATTTTTAAGAAAATATAAGTGAAGTATCTAAATGTTGATATGAAGTTGTTTTGTGCTTCCCAGTGGAGACTTTTGGTTTCACATTTGTTTGTAGTCCATCCTGCGTATCTTCTCGCTGAGCATATGTTATTGGCTTCCACCAACCAGGCGACTATTTCCAAATTCAAATGCCCACAGGATAGGCAGGGAACTTAAAAAAAAAATGACAGGCCGGGCGCTGTGGCTCACGCCTGTAATCCTAGCTCTTGGGAGGCCGAGGCGGGCGGATTGCTCAAGGTCAGGAGTTCAAAACCAGCCTGAGCAAGAGCAAGACCCCGTCTCTACTATAAACAGAAAGAAATTAATTGGCCAACTGATATATATATATAAAAATTAGCCGGGCATAGTGGCACATGCCTGTAGTCCCAGCTACTCGGGAGGCTGAGGCAGAAGGATCACTCGAGCCCAGGAGTTTGAGGTTGCTGTGAGCTAGGCTGACGCCACGGCACTCACTCTAGCCTGGACAACAAAGTGAGACTCTGTCTCAAAAAAAAAAAAAAAAAAAATGACAGAGACTGTGCTTAAGAGGCAACAATACTGATTTTGGAATATACAACACATCATTATCAACTGTAGTCACCCTGATTAAATTTCAAATGTCTAGCCATAAAAAAATGATGAGTAGGCTAGGTGACGGATATGTTAATTAGCTTGATTTAATCATTCCACATGGTCTATGTATATCAAGACATCACATCATGCCCCACAAATGTATATAATTATGATTTGTAGATTAAAAACATTAATGTTGTAAAAGAGACTGCAGTAGTGATTGCCATCTGGCTTTAGTGTTTGCAAGACAACAGGAAAAACAGTGGCAAATTGGAGGGTGGGCCCCCTTTCTCCAGGTCTAGTACTTGGTACATTTCATCACCTCTCCTTTGCAGCGAGGGTGTGGAGTTCCCTGGGTAATATTTGTAGCCAGGTATTTTCTCAGCATTCCCACGATATCCCCGGGGCTCTACCTGTCTCACATCTCTCCTCTTTTTCTTCTATTTTTTATCAGGTGGCAGCAGACTTCCAAGTCTTCAGGTTTGTCCAGCACCTTACAGCCTGCGGGTGCCAAAGCTGATGCCCTCAGGGAAGAAATGGAGGAGGCTGCCAACAGAGTGGAGATTTGCAGGGTACCCGCCCTCTTTGCTCCTCTCTACTGGGACAGGCTGGGGAGCCCTCAGGGATTTCCTTCTCGTTCACTGGAGTTCTCTTAAAACTCTATTAGTGAGTCTCTAGTTGAACTAAATGCCCCCACGCTTGCCTGCCAACACCTCCAAGGAGTACAGGATGAAACCAAAGAGTTGGGGCTTTGGTGGTGGCCTAGACAGGGAGGCAGTATTGGATTGTCATTGGTGTTCCTGCATGGTAGGCAGAGAGAAACTGACCTTTGTATCTGTCTGAAGCTTTTGTGAACTATCTGAGTCCCAAAGAGTAAATTCTAGACCACACAGGACACTTGAGGGTTTAGAGCACAGGACTGTTGATATTAAATTGTTTCTTTTCTGAAGTTTGCTTTTTGATATTTCCTGAGTCACATTATCAGCCCTGTGCCTCCTAGAAGACATTTATCTAGAAAGTTGAAATGCTAGCCATGGAAATAATCATGGAAAAGAAAACCGCCCACTTGTTAAGAGACAGTGTGCATCATTCTGAAAACTGTGTCTCTGTACTTGTGGAAGGATGTCCTTTGTTATGCTCATTCGAATGTTTCCCATTCACTTTCCTGACAAACGTTGTCTGGGACTTAATTAGCAATATACCATTCATGATGCTCAGTGTATATGTGCATCTGTTTACATGCATATATGTCAGTTTGGGTTTCCAAGGAAACCAAAACTATATTTAAACCCAAGGAACAAAAATATGTTTTTATAACTATTCTGGAAACATATTGCTTTAATCACACACAGTTTTAAAGGAGAATGGCCACTGTGCACGTGGACATCGCTGTTCCTTCTGGCTCTGTGGAGTCTTGTTGGGCTGTCCATTGGCTTGTTCTTGTATAGCCGCCCTGTGCCAGTGGCTTTGACCCTGCAGTCAGGTGACATTCAGAATCAGGTAGAATTTATCCCTGGACTTAGAAACATTGAAAGATTTTTAAAGGATTCATTGTCTCCCAGCCTGCAGTACTGGGGAACCAAGCAAAGCAAGACCAGCACCTCAGAGCCAAGGTTCTTTGTGAGGAAAGCCGATTTGTCCTTTGAACGTCTGTGTAAATGGCAGATATCTGGCCGGTGTGCTATTCCTGAAGTGTAACTCTTCTCTCCTGCTGATTTGACATTTACTCTGTGTATTCTTTTACCATCTACCATAGATCTGTGTTCTTCAGCTAGGAGTCTTTTAAACATTCCTTTTCCAGTAGACAGAGAGGGCGGTGTTAAGAGGGGGTGCTGACTGTGAGTATCCAAATATATCGGGGTAAAAGTTCGATGGCTTTATACATTCTTGTGTAGAGTCTTACAGTTGCTGCTGTGCCAAAAATATATCCAATTCCTCTTCAAAGATCACAAAAGTAATATGTGTTCACCATAATCAGATTAAAAAATACAAAAATGTATTGAGAAAACACCAGTATTCTCCCACTTTTTGCCCAGCAGCCCCTCTGTTTCCAAGCAAGGTGGCTAATTCCTCCTCCCCACCGATACCTAGTAAGACTTTGTTGTGGGCTGGTGTGGTGGATTGCTCCTGTAATCCTAGCACTCTGGGAGGCCAAGGCAGGAGGATCGCTTGAGCTCAGGAGTTTGAGACTAGCCTGAGCAAGAATGAGACCACTGCTCTACCAAGAAGAAAGAAAAAAAAAACCCAGCCAGGCCTTGCAGCACACATGCCTGTAGTCCCAGCTACCTGGGAGGCTGAGGCAGAAGGATCGCTTAGACCCCAGGAGCTGGAGGTTGCATTCAGCTTCAGTGATGCCACTGCACTCTACCTAGGGCGGCAGAGTGAGACTCTGTCTCAACAAAAACAAACAAGGCAACTGAACACCCCTCCTCACAACCCCCACCCCTTCATATTTAAAAAAATAAATAAATTAAAAATTAAAAAAAAAACATTAAAGACTTTGATATGACAATATACTCCCTTACATGGCAAGTGGCCATAAAAGTGCTAAGGATATGGAAGCCAGTGTTAGGGCCTGTTTATGCCCCTCCACACCTTTCCTCATGATCATACAGATATACTCATATGTGACATTTTCCTAGTTACTTGTGTTTGTTTTTAATAAAACAGTCATACTGTTTATATTAAACTGCCACTGCTCTCAGTTAACACTACATTATGAATATCTGTTTATTTTAGTAGCTATAGATCTAATTTAGTCTTTTTTATAAAGTGCATAATATTCCATGGTAGGGATACTCACACACACGTATACACACACACACACACACATATATATATATATATATATATCATGATTTATTTAGTTATTTTCCTATTGAGGGATGTTCAAACTGGTGTGTTTTTGTTTTATTTTTTGCCATCCCCCAAAATGATACAATAAACATCCTGAGATGTATATCCCTACACCATGGTAAATTTTTTTCTACAGGATTGATTGCCAAAAATGATATTTTTAGGCCAAAGTCTCTGCATACCTTTTTAAATTTAATAGATATTGACAGTTTATTTTTCTGAAAAGGAAAGACAGTTCACGTTTCCACCAGCAATATATAAAATTGCACATTTTCCTTCATCTTTACCTGTCACGTATGCTGGTACTATTTTCAGTCTCTCCAGGGCTGGTAAGGGAAGAAAAGCCACCTCTGTATTATTGTAATCTTAATTTCCCTGAATATTAGTGATGATGAGTATAACTTAATGTATGCATTGGACATTCTTCATACATTTATATGCATTTTCAGTTTGGCAAATTGCCTATTTGTATAGGCAATTGGACCAATATTTCTATTGTTTTTTTAAGTATTAATTTATAAAAGTTCTCTGTGTATTAGGGATATTAAACTTTTCTCTGTCTTTCGTGCTGCAGATGCTTTTTTGAATCTGCCATATGTCTTTCAACTTTGCTTATGTTGACATCTACTATTAAAAACTTAACCATGGCCAGGCGCGGTGGCTCATACCTGTAATCCTAGCACTCTAGGAGGCTGAGGTGGGCAGATCACTCATGGTCAGTAGTTCGAAACCAGCCTGAGCAAGAATGAGACCCCGTCTCTACTAAAAATAGAAAGAAATTAATTGGCCAACTAAAAATACATAGAAAAAATTAGCTGAGCATGGTGGCACATGCCTGTAGTCCCAGCTACTCGGGAGGCTGAGGTAGCAGGATTGCTTGAGCCCAGGAGTTTGAGGTTGCTGTGAGCTAGGCTGATGCCACAGCACTCTTGCCCAGGCAACAGAGTGAGACTCTGTCTCAAAAAAAAAAAAAAACTTAACCATATACTTATATTTCCTTGCCATGGGAAAAAATCCTGGGTAGCCCATCGGGCATCTTCTATCCAAAAGTTAAACTATTTTCCTTCTTTAATTTTATTTCAATGTTTTAATGCAATGTTTTATACACCTATTTTATAAATTTTAATACACCTGACTTTAATTTTTATATGGTATGAGGTAGAGGGTTTCTTTCCTTTTTTCAGATTGATAGTTTTGCCAGCACCATTCATTAAATAAGCCACCTCTCAATCAAGTGAAATCTTACTATCAGTAATTACATTTATTTCTGGACTCTGTTTTATTAATCTGTTTGCCTATTCCTGAGACAATAATACACACTTTCTAATCTAATGGGTTCAAAATAAATATAATCTCTAGTAAGATAACCTCCCCTCTTTTTGTAGTTATCCTGGCTAGTCTGTGACATCGTTTTATTGTATGAACTTTGAAATGATCATATCCAGTTAATAAAACCCCATATGGTGCTCTAGGTAGTCTTATTTGTGTGCTGAGGTGATCTCAAAAGTGTTCACTGCTGATTTTGTTAAAGTTCTCTTCTGACTCTTCTTTTATCTCTACTTTGTTGGTTGCCAGCTGTTTCAAATATCCACCTTGGTCTTTCCACCTCCCCTTTCTGGGTTTCCTTAAATGGGTTGCTTTCCCTAATCTTTTTGTGGTTTTGTGTATCCTCAGCAAGCAAGACACGTCTTTGGGTCTCCTACATTGTGGCAGACCAGAAAAGTGCGAGTTTGTGAGCTGAAAGTCAATGAAGTAGCAATCTGATTCCTGTTTGTTTAGGCACTGAGAGGACCAAGCAGAGCTCCCCAGATCTTTGGAGCCCAGAGAGCTTTAGCCCACCAGGGAAGGGTTCCAGAAGACAGAACTTGCTGAGACCTCAGGCAGACTTACAGGTGCAGCATTGCCTGCCTGATTCTTTCAGGAGCCCATCTAAACCCTGCTGTGCTTCCTTCTCTCAAAAAAGGCAAGCCTCATTCTTCACAACTGGTACCTGCTTTCTCTTTTCTTCCTGAGATCATCTATTCCTCAACCAATACATCCAAGGAAGTATAAGTAGGTGGTAATTTTTCAATAAGGGGAGAGAAAGTGAAGAAGGACCTGTGAACAATGAATTAACAATACAGAACACAGTGACTGGAAACCTAATCCGCTTGATGATGGCAATGTTTGTTTTTGTGTTGTGCAGGAGACTGGCCACAGTCTTGGGATTTTCAATGGAAGGTGATTCTTTCACCTTTCCCACTTTTATCTCCCCATATCCTGGCACATACGTTCTTATCCTGGCTCCAGCCACTTCGCTGGTTTTCCCATTTAGCCTCCTATCTCTCTCTCTCTGTCTCTGTCTCTGTCTCTCTCTCTCTCTCTCTCTCAACTTGTGTCTTTTCTCTTCTATTTTATTCTTCTCCTGTGTGTAATCTTTGCTCTTTGAAAATCAAGCTTGAATCTGGGAAAGATGACAACTGGAAGCAGGTGTCTAGCCCATCTTTTCCCCCTCACGGTCTGCTTTAAACATATATTGTCAGATTAAAAGACAACATTGGATCTTGACCTACAACTCCTCTTATTACAGAATTGGTGTCATGTCATGGGAAGCAAGTAAAGGAGATCCTGGCATAACCTGTGAATACCCTGTAATCTGTCTGGAAGGCTGTGGAATGGTTGAGGAGCACTTCCGTTACTTGGAATTTCTCCCGCAAGGACAATCTAGCCCAGGAGA